ACGCCCACCTCACCCTCCCTACCCCCCCCCCCCCCCCCCCTCCCCTACACCCTTTGCTCATGCGCCGCACCGACTCGGGCTCAACAGCCATGCGCGAGCTGCTGTGCCCGGGCAAGCCGCAGCCACCACGCCCACCGCCAACGGACCAGGCTGCACGCCGTGAGCTGGCCCATCCATACCCATACGCCACAGACGCAGCACTGCCGTTGCCAGAGCCGACATCGCGTGCCCCGCCGCCGCGTCTGGAGCCGCATCACCAGCGGCGATCATCGCACGGGCCGCTCTCCAAGGACTTTGACGGGCGGCTGCGGGCAGCGTCGATGCTGCGCAACTCGGCGTACGAGACCGCGGTGGCGGCAGGCGCCGAGCCGGTGGCAGCGATGGCCACCGAGCCGCCGCCGATGCGCCGCGCCCGACTGCAGCGTGCGGCGTGGAAGCGGGCCGATCGCGTCCGTGCCGCCCGCGCTGTTCGCGCCCCGCACGGCCTAATGCCGCACTGCTTTGATCCGCACGCAGAGGTTGCCGAGTCGTCGCTGGTGGCGCTCCGCTCCCGCATTCGCGCCTCGGGCCGTCTTGACGACGTCCTGCACTCTCGCAGGCTCGAGCGCGCCATGGCGCATGTCTCTTTTGCCTCGTCGCCGAACCAGTCGTTGGACAACATCGAGCCGCCGCTCTCGCCGCGATCGGTGGCAGCGTCCGATTCGGCGGCGTCGACGTCGCCGGACCACATCGCCGCGCCGGGCCCGCGCTCGCGCTCCTCGTCCAAGCTCATCAACACCCGCAAGCAGGCCCAGGAGCGCGACCGCGCCGCCATCCGCTTTGTCTCGCTCGCTCGCAAAGCCAAGGACGCCGCCCGCCGCGCCGGCATCCCGCTCGATCCCGACCTCGACCTCGACAACATTGCCGCCATCGACATCACCTTTGCCGCCGACGACGCCTCGTCTGAAGCCATCCTCTCCTCCAACCTCTCACCACCTCGCCGCACCAGTCACGCACGCCGGATCTCGATCTCACGGCCTGCCACATCCGGCCTCGCCTCGTCCCAGCCAGCACCATCAGCGCTCGCTCCCCACGAGACAACGCCGCCGCCGTCGCCTCCACCCGAGCCGACAGCCCGAGCCACTCCAGACCCATCAGTTGGGCCCGAACCGGAGCCCAAGCCGTCGCCACAAGCCGAGCCAGCAGATCCAGCTACCCTCCCTCCAGAGGCCTCGCCGCGGCACTACAACCAGCGGCGCAAGAGCTACACACCCTCGTCCCCGGCGCGTAGCTCGTCGCCAGCTCCGGGCACGACCGGTCGATCGATTGTCCGGCGCCGTCGGGCCAACTCGAGCCTCGCTGCTCCATCGCCGCGCGCGCTGGCTGCTCCACCACCAGCGAGACCGGTGGCGGTCATCGACCGGTCCATTCCTGTTGTCCGGCGCAACGCGCCGCGGGCTCCGCTCACACCCGAGCCGCAGCCGTACGTCGTCCCGGCCGTCCACCGCGTCTCCGCCGTCCCACAGCTTGAACTTTCGCCGGCTACCGCCGCCTCGATGCACGTCTCGGTAGACTCGACCGGCCGTCGCGGGCCCGACTACGTCCGAGCGCTCAAGATCTCAGCACCGACCTCGTCGTCCGCCGACACCACCGCTGGCGACGCTCTCCCAGCCACCAGCGCTGGCCCGGCGCGGATGGACACCGGGTTCTCCGTCCGCGACTCGATCGCTCTCGACCTCCCCACCACTCCCAACGGTGCACCCACCGTCCACGCCTCGCCCGATGGCTTCTTTCATACCGCCATTCACCAGCCCGCTTCCCCGCCTGGTCCGTAGCTGCTGTTGAAGCTGACCCACCTCACTCCCCATGCGCCCCCTCGTCACACCCGCGCTACGCAAGGCGGTGTTCTCGCTTGGTCCGGCATGTGACACGCCTGCGGCGCTCCGTTCCCTCTTCCGTGCCCCTCCCGCTGCCCTCGCCCCCGTCGTTCGCCTCGACCTGGCCCGTGGCGGGTGGCGGGCGACGTCGCCGCCGCCGATCCCGCGCAAAGCGGCTGCTGCTGCGCACCCGGCACCGCGGGCTCTACTTGCGCTCTACGCGCAATTGCGGTATCACGCCCGGCTCGCCGATCGCGCACGTGCTGCCGCCGATGGCATGGCCGCCGGCCGGACCACCCCGCTCTGGATTGACCTGCCGGACTCGGCGCCGCGATCAGCCTGCCATGCCCGGCTTGAGCTCTTGCCGCCCGGCTCGGAGCTGCGGCTCGCTGCCGGCCGCAACAACGAGGCACTGTTCATTAGAGGTCAGTGCGCGCAAGCGACGTTGGCAGCAGCACGACCCAAGGACGTGGTTGTGTTTGATGGCGGCGCGCTGACTGCACGGGTGACCGGTACCTCGCCTCTCGGCGTCGTCTCCGCCAGAGTGCTCCCGGCGCCCGGCGCTACGAGCCCGGCACTGCCGCTGCATGCTGAGATGGGCCTCGTCCGGCATCTCAAAGGCGGACAGGTGATGGACCTCTGCCCGCCGCCGTCGCTCCTGTGGGACACCGTCCCGTTTGCCAAGCGCCTCAAGCCGGAGTTTGTCAGCGTCTCGGCTGCGGTCCTCGCCGCCGAGCCGGAGACGCTGCCTCGGCTGCGCGAGGCGCTGGCAGCGCCCACACTTGCCGCTGAGCACGAGTGGGTTGAGCATGCTCGCGGCGCCGGGACGGCGAAGCGCGGGCTGGCCCAGCTCCCCCACGTCCGCCTTGCGTTGAGGCTCGACTCGCTCGCCGGTCTTAACGCGCTACGCCATGCCCCACAGCTCCTTGAGGCTGCCGACGTGCTGATCTTTGACACACGAGCTGTACTCGCGCCGCTCATCCACCCGTCACAGCCGAACAAGCCCCCTCGTCCGGCGGCGGTCGCCGACGCTGCTGCTTACGTCGAGCACCTCGCTGACCGCGCCCGCGCTTCCGCGATGCCCGTCGTTCGGGTCTCCCACGCGCTCGACAGCCTCATCCATCCGCAGGCTACCGTGCCGGCACCCGCTGATCTCACCTTGCTGCTCGATGAGCTCTCACGTGACGGCGCACGTGGATGTGACGCACTTGCGTTTACGTCTGTGGCGAGCTTTGGCTCTCACGCCGAGGTTGCGGCCGCTACCTGGGGTGCCCTGGCCGCACACACAGCATCGCATACGCGGCCGGCCGGCGAGCCTGTCCACATGCACATCGAGTCTTGGGCGCAAGTACCCGAGCTTCTGCACGCGACAGCTGGTGGCGCCGTTGTCCACGCCACTACGCCGCACAAGACGCTCGCGCGGCAGCTACAGCTATTGTCGTTTGTTGTGCCTGAGCATGTGCGGTCAGTTTGAGTGCGAGCGGTCTGTCCCGTCAGCAGCAGCCAAAAAGCTTGCTCAAGCCGGTAGGAGCCGGGCGATAAGGGACAGCCACGGTGAGGACAGGCTCCTCGGTGAGATAGACGAGCCGCTCAAAGCGCATGGCGGTGCCAACCTTGGGCGCGGTGACGTCCATGGGGATGATGCCTGCCGCCGATGCGCCGCCACCGCCACCACCACCGCCGCCAAATGCAACATTGCTGTCGTGCCTGACTTGGCTGTCCCAGTACATCACGTTGGAAGTCGGGCCCTGCATGACCATGTCTTCGAGCGGGGTGTACGACGGTTGATATGTCGAAGAGCCGGCGTGAAAGGTGTACGACGGAACGTGGAGCATGTCGCCATCGGGCTCCTGGTAGCTGAGAGTGTCAAGCTGCGGGACGTAGATGGTTGCCCGGAGGACCATCGCCGGAAGATCAAACTTGGGCAACGGGACACGGACGGTGCCACGGTCAGCAATGGGCTCGTCGGGAACGAGGAACGTGACCTTGACCATAAATGCATCGTTGGACTTGGGGATGGGGACAATGAGCCTCTGCTGCGCGTCCTCGGCCGGTTTGACCGGGGCCGAGCGAACGGCAGTCGTCCACACCTCGGCGCTGTCAGGCAGCTCCATCCGCAGGTACTGACGCGAGTTGTTGCGGACAGTACACACGGTCTCGTAGAGGAGCTTGCCCTCCTCGGTGACGGTGATGAGGACCTCGGCGTTCTCGATGATGGCAACAAGGACGGCAACGTCGGCGTGCTTGGTCACCCCGATCTGCAGGTCGTACTGAGTCGCGAGGAACTTGTAGGCGAGGAGGATCGGCTGTGACGCCGCCATGCTTTGAACCGCCGGTGGCGACTCGCGCGAATCGATCTTGGTGATGGCCCGCCCGGCCAAGTGCTGCTGCGAGAGCTCGACGTTGGAGCGGACGGTGACGCCGATGTAGCCCTTCTCGCGGACGACGCCGCGGCAGTGGAACGAGGGCACATTGACGACCTGCGAGCGACGCTTCATCTCGACCTCGGATTCGAATCGGAGCGTGAACGTCGACTCCTTGGGGTAGCGGAGGCTGACGATGAGCACAAACTTGTTGCTGTCGTCGTCGGCCTCAGCCTTGCCGCCCCGCCCGTCGGCGTCGTCGTCGGTTTCGGGCTCGAGCTCGGCCGCAGGCACCACCTCCCACTTGCGGACCGCGACCGAGCCCGAGACGGCGAGGACCCGAACCTGCGACGGAATGTCGATGTGGAACGTGGAGACGCCGTTGTGCAGGATGGTGTACTCAAAGCTCGACGAGCAGAAGAGCACACCCTCGGTGACGGTGAGCAGGTGGTTTTGGTCGACCGTCACCACCGCCCGCCGCTCCTCACGCACCTCGGGCGCCACAAACAGCGAGTCGGACGGCACTGTTGGCTCCGAGTCGGACTCGGAGCCCTCTGACCGCACTCCGCCGAGCGCCGACGAGAGGACCGACGACATCGGCGTCGAGGCCACGCCGGTCTCACTGGGCGTCCACTGGATGTTGAGCGTCGTCGACGCTGGAAACGCCGTCCGCACCGTCGTCGACGCCACGCTCGACTCGATGGTCGTCCGCAGGCTCGGCTGGATGGTGACATTGAGTCCGGCCTCCGGGTGCATAAACGTCAGCATGTTGCGCGTCGCCCGCGGCAGCCCACTGACCATCGTCGAGTTCTTGCGCTGACTGGTGAACGGGACAAGCATCTCCATGTGAACCGAGTACACGCCCGGCACGCATGTGAAGAGCACAAATCGCGAGCCACTCACACCCACAATCCCGTCCTCGTACACAATGTCGTCGTCGCCGTCGCCACCATTGGGCGCAGTCACTCCGGGCGCCCCGGGCACCCGATCGCCGTTCCGCTCAAACGTAGCCGAGAGCAGCGTCATCGTCGTCGGCAGCAGCGGCACCGTCGTCCACTTGCCCATCTCCGTCAGGACCTCGACCTCGAGATGCATCACAAATGTCACCGCTTCCTCACCGGCCTGACCCTCCATCTCAAGCGCGTTGACTGCAGCAAAATAGATGCGATAGCCGTGAGTGGATGCCGGCTGAGGAGGACGGCTGCGAAGGAATACGGGCATGGCTGCGAAGGAATGTGGGCATGGCTGCGAAGGAATGCGGGCATGGCTGCGAAGGAATACGGGCATGGCTGCGAAGGAATGCGGTCATGGCAGCGAAGGAATGCGGGCATGGCTGCGAAGGAAAAGAAGAAATTCACTCTTCCCCCTCCCTGCCTCCCCCTCG